CACACAGACGACCTCTCGTCAATATGCGTTTTTCGCATTGCATTGCTGCAAAAAACGCATAAAAAATGATTTGACATGCTTGTGCGCGTGATACAAGTATACGCGAATACTCATTTCTCGCGCACAGACTCTCACGCATACAGCAAATATTCTCCTAAAATCAGATCAATCTACTTCGCCTACTAGATGAGTTGGAATATTGCCAGCTACTGCGAACCGTAACTTCGACGTGCCCGCACACATGACGTACGTGTACGTCCGAGCTAAGACTAAAAATCTTTCGCTCATATAAGAAAATCTCAGCGAAGTTTCAACTTCCTACCTTGTCTGGCTCCCGAAATCGCTTTTCCGCCAAAAAATTAGGATAAATTTCTTAAGTTCATACGTGGAACCCAAGTGTACATGAACGATGATTTTAAAGATGGAGCACCACACACGGAGCGGAGACACACTTCAGAAATTTTAGCATCTTAGTTTCACCCATGCTGAGTTGATTTTTTCTGGAGCATATTCCCATCCCTTGTGCGTTGCTCCATCTCTAAAATTATCGTTCTTCTACACCTCGGTCTCACGTACGGACTCCTTGAAAAAATTTTTTTGGTGGGGAGCGACTTCGGGAATCGAGCAATCACAAGGATATTCTGTGCCCTTATATGTGCTAAAGATTTCAAACTCGGTTCGACCGCACGCGTACGTGATGTGCACGGACACATCAAAGTTGCGATTCGTAACGGTTGCAAAATGCCAACTCGAGAACTAGGCTGCGTAGGTTCCTCCAATTTCAGGGGAAAATTGCCCACATCTGTGAGTTCGCCCGTATACGTTATGTGAACATTCCCGTACGTTTTTACCACGCTTATGAGTATGTCGAACTATTTTTGGGGGAAAAGCGAATTCGAGAGCTAAATGAGCTAGGAAATAGAAGAATAGAAGGACTTCACTTGAATGTCATGTGTTTGAAGACATTTTGTGACGCAGCCTGTGTTTCATCCCTTAGCTGTATACACAGACCGAACAGTGCATGCGGGGAGGAATGGAAATCACCAGTACAGCCTCCCACCCACCATGTTTTGAATAGTCATGTGTCTAATTTGCAAGACAGATGACAGGAAGAAATAGATATGAGTGAGGGAGCAAACAAAGTGAGAAAGGAGGGAAAGAGAAGTTAAAACGTGAATGAGCAAACGGAAAGGAAGGAAAGCAGGGAAGTTGAAACGCGATAAGGACAATCATTATATTTAATTATTAGAAAGAGCCGTCTACGAGAACAGACTACTGACACACATGTTTAATTTCTGAATCATCAGGGAAGATGAATTTGCTCAGTATTGACCGGTTCCTGAAGCAAAATCTGAGAAACTAAATTCTCATTATGATAAGATGATGCGTGATAAAAATATTTGAAACTCATCTTATACACAAGTACAGATCTCGATTATGCGCAGGTGGCACTTCCATTAAAAGCACTGTTGGCTCACGATTCAGACTGCGTGGGCACCTGTACTTTTATGAAGATATCCACTGTTTATGCACAGAACTGGCATCTTCGACTCAGCTTGTCCAAATCATCGAAATGCACCAAAAACTAATGCAAAAACGCATTATCGCAAAAACGCATTGGTACGCACCGCCAATGACTGCATTTGCCTAAATATGCAAAAAACGCATAAAAATGATAAAAGCACGGTAACTTACAGCGCAGACGATGCAAATTATCTTCTTTCTTGATGATAAATTTTTTGCTTGTTTTGTGAACGCCGTTACCATCGTTGATTTCGCTGCTACTGACATCGGTGCTGTCTGAAACACGAAAAGCCATCAGTTCGCTATACAAAAATAAGATTTCGTTTAAAAAAAAAAAGATTTGCAAGACTGCTCGAACAATCAATGCGGTCAAGGTATTATAAAAGGAGTGAAAGGTTGGCATTTGTCGAATTCGCTGCGATCAGAAATTTTCGAAAATACGCATAAAAATTCACAAAAAGTTACTGTAAGCTATGTTCTATCGCTCTAAAACTTACTCGCTCGCAAGCGTCAGCAAATAATAAATGGGAAGAGGCATAGTAATACTTATGAACAACAGAAATAATACTCAGAAAAAATGATAGAAGGAACCTGTAGGGTCTGAGACGTGGGTTCCACCGAAACGACATCAGGTTGAGGAAAATCGCTG